TTGGGCAAAAGTCCAATGAAATCATAGAAGCATGGCTTATCCGACTAGCAAAGGCGAGTGCTATGCAAATTCTGATGTAAGATGACAAGGAATGGAAGTCATTTGGGTGTTAACAACTGACCCCATGCTCCAAGCCACTTTGGCCACAACCCTTCTGGTCAGTGAAGTGGATACGGAGGAGGAAAATATACGGACAAATCAGGGCTTGTTGCAGTGGGTCTTTACAGCTATAATGAAACCATGACCTGTCCAAGATAAAATCCTGTCCCCTGACAAGCACCCTTGGACAATAATGGGAGAGTCTATTACTTCCTTTTAGTCCCCTGTGACCTCAGTCTGGATTCATATGGAGAGCATGCATGCCCAGATGATGAAACAGTCACCCAAAATCAGATTGAACATTTGCTCGACACCAGCAGCCTATGGCTGAAACCAGATCTTCTCTTGCTCTTCGGGGATGTCTCTGGGAAACTCTTCAGCTACTGCGCAATCATTTCCCCAGAATGGAAACCTTGGCAAAGGTCAAGGTAATGCACTACAGGCCCAGGTAGGGGAAGAAACGAGCCATAAGGCCGTGTGGGCTTGGCTACTATGCCAGGGGTCCCAGAAGAGGAAAGTGATAGCCTTTCCATGAAGAAAAATTGTCTCTTGTTATTGGGCTCTGGGAAGGCCATGGGGCTTAAGAGATTTGGGCTTTAACTGGGCTATTTTTGGCATTTCCTGGGGGCCAAAAAGAGGAGCACCAAGAGAGCCCCAAACTCCTGTAGAAGCATGGGGTTTGTTCCATTTACTCTTTGACCCAACGCTTTCAGCGCTACCCCTAAACCCCTTCAGAGACAAACAGGACAAACTAGGTTAGAGGCCAAGGTCCCTCCATCCCCAGGGGAGACCAGAGGCCCTATGCAGTGTGCTGGGAACTAACAACAACCATGGCTGCCAAACCTCAGCCCTCCTGAACATGGTGGCACAGGCCACTGGGATACTGGGATGTGCCCAGAGGCATGGCTGAAAACTCACTCTTACTAGATTTGGAAATAGCTCTCAAATTGGACAACAGACTGAGGTAGTTTGGGGGTGGGACCTTTTAATTTTTTTTTTTTTTTTTTGGCCACACCGTGTGGCATGCGGGATCTTAGTTCCCCGACCAGGGATTGAACCCACACCCCATGCAGTGGAACTGCAGAGTCCTAACCACTGGACTGCCAGGGAAGTCCCCAGGTGAGACTTTTTAAGCTAATACACACCCAAGTGGTTGTAAATAACATTGTTGAATGTATTGTGGGAATAGATATTTGAAGTATGTTTAAGACTTCTTTTGATTGTAAGGAATGTTCCCAATGGAGAAGTGTCATGATTAGGATGGTGGTAATTAGGATAGGGACAACTGGTCACCGCTCCTGACCTAGCCAAGTGGTTACCAAGAAGCAGAGGGCTATGGATGGGTAAGTGGGGGGGTGCCACAGTCCTGATCAAGGAACTAGTGGACTTAGGGGTGCTCAAGGAAATGAGATCTTTTTTTTTTAATAAAGGAAATGTAATATTTAAATTAATTAATTTATTTTTGGCTGTCTTGGGTCTTCGTTGCTGCACGCGGGCTTTCTCTAGCTGCGGCAAGCAGGGCTATTCTTCATTCTGGTGCACAGGCTTCTCATTGCGGTGGCTTCTCTTGTTGCAGAGCACGGGCTCTAGGCGCACGGGCTTCAGTAGTTGTGGCACTCGGGCTCAGTAGTTGTGACTCGTGGGCTCTAGAGCGCAGGCTCAGTAGTTGTGGCGCATGGGCTTAGTTGCTCCACGGCATGTGGGATCCTCCCGGAGCAGGGCTCAAACCCGTGTTCCCTGCATTGGCAGGTGGATTCTTATCCACTGCGCCACCAGGGAAGCCCCACAAGGCCACTTCTCATCCGTCTTCCTAGTTTCAGTTAAGTGTAGTCCTTTCCACCTTGCCCCACCCTCCTCCCCACACTTGGAGTGTAGCTGCAGGTCATAAAATTGTGTGACTGCAGTTGAGTTGGCTTCTCAGCCACAGACAGACCTACCATCGTGCTGCCTGTCATCTGGTCCCTCTGGTTCAGTGCTGTCCTGTGACGAGGGAAAGCCGACACCATGCTGGTCTTGCATTTGCTGTCTGTGTGAGTAATGGCTGTCTGGATCCACTGGGGCTTGTCATCCTCTTACTGGCTAGGTCTCATGGAAGTGTGGTAGGCACACCTGGCAGCTGCACAGTGATTTGTGCAAAAGGATTTGTGGCCTTGTTAGCTACCAGGCTGCACTTAGGGATTGCTTGACCTCTTGACAGAGGGGAACTTTTTGGAGTGATGAGAAAGTGATATTTTGATCTGAGTGGTGATTATACTTGTATATCCATTTATATACATGAGCAGCACACTTAAGACTTGTGCCATATATTGTAAGTTGTATCTCAGTTAAAAAAAAAAAAAGAAAAGAACCACCAGAGAATCAATAAGAGCTCTTGAAAATAAGATTATGATTGCCAAAATGGAAAATTCAGTAGACAGGTCGGAAGATAAATTTCCCAGAACACAGGACAAAACAGAGACACAGAGGATGACGAACCCAGCCTAGGTCTACCACCTTAGTAACAGGCATGCTAGTTGGCAAATAAACCTAGAAAAATGTTTCTGATGGTGATAAAAGAAATGGGAGTTAAAACAATGAGATGGGTTTGTAAATCTGGTTAATCAACCAAAAAGTTTTTAAGCAATTTTCAACAGTTTGTAATTGGCGGTGGAAACTGGCACAACCCTTTTGGGGAGCAATAGAACGCCAAGTATCATCAGTCATATCAGTCCTTAGCTTTGGCCCAGGTAACCTCACCGCTGAAAGTTTGTCCTAAGGTAATAGAAAGAAGACATGTGGAATTCATGGAGATGTTCACTAGCGTGGTTTATTATGCTGCAAAATTATAAACAACCTAGATGTCCAGTAAAAGAACAAGCAAGAAAATTATAGGCCTTACAGGAGGCAGGCACGGAAAGGGGCCGTGATTAACGCACGGTACCAACAGGAGGCAGCACCCCTTTGCCTGAGGAGCGTAACCGCATCTAACCGCATCTAATACCTACACCAGAACCGGGAGGGAGCTGGAAAATGTACTTCACCGTTCGGTTGGTGAAATGGAGGAGGAATGTTTCTACTACTGCTAATTAATGAGCTTACTCTAGGAAGACTCAGTAAAACCTCAAGCTGCGCGCGCCTCCTCGCGGACCCGCAGCTCTTCCAGGTCGCGTCCGGGCTGCGGCTGCGGCTGCGCACTGCGGACCCTCTGCCGGCGCCGGGGGGCCACGGCGCAGACCGCACCGGAAGCGCCGGGCCAGCCCGCCGGAGCTGAGCTAGGGACGCCAGTGGCCCGACTCGCCCGGCTCCGCGAGGCGCACCGCAGGCGGAGGCGGGGCCGAGGCGAGGAGGCGGGGCTGGGGTGGCGCGGGGGCGCGGCGAGGCTGTCCCCGCCCCGCACGCCGCTCTGCCCGGCGGCCTCCAGCGTGGGGAACTGGCGCCGGCGGCCTGGCCTCTGTGGGAGCGACTGGTGGGCGGACGCCCGCCTTTGCCTGCGTCGCTGCCTCCGCGCGGGCCGCCCTACCCGGGGATGTGAGGGGCGCAGCTCGGCCGGCGGGGCCCGGAGCGGCGCGGAAGCTGGCCGCAGACGGTAGCGCGCTGGGCGGGCGCGGGCAGGGCTCCGGTTGCCCCGGCCGAGGCCAGGCTTGAGCGGCAGGAGCGCGTGCGGCGCTTTGGAGTCGGAGGCGGCCGGAGCTCCCGCACGGGTCAGTTGCTGTTGCGGTCCTGGGGCCCGGCAGAGCCGGGGAGGGTCGAGGGCCGGGAGGGGGCTGGGCCGGCGAGCGGGCGAGCAGCCGAAGACCCGGCGGCAGGTGCCGGCCTCCCTCTGAGATCCAACTCTCTCTCCCCAGCTCCACCTACTTTGGCCTGGACTCAGCCTCCCAGGGCTAAAAATATTGCCCGGAGGCTCCTGAGCGGAATAAGATCGCGCTAAATAGGGCACAACGCTGCAGAGGCGACAGAGCTCCTCAGCCCGAGGGCTGGAGGAAGACTCCTGAGCTGCCGCTCCCGCCGCCGCTCAGCCGGCAGCTAGCTGTCTCCCTCCGCCCAGCAGGCAAGTGCGGGCCGCGGGCGGTGGCGGAGGACACTGGTTCTCTAAAGTTGCCCCACAGCCGAGCAGCTGTGCCTGGCTTTTCCCTACCCAGGTTATCTTTGACATCAATCACTGGTGGCTTCCAGGGGGTCCCCTAAATGCTCTGTAAGCAGAGGCTGAAAGTTACCCACTGCAGGAGTCAGAGCTAACAGGGAGAGGACTCTTTATGTTAGAAACATAAGCTGTGGCTTCTTTTTTTATTCATTCTGCATTTCTGAATCAGAGAGCAGCTGTGCCAGTCACTCTTTCTGGTGAGTACCAGTCTGATGCAGGCGGGCAGGGAGAAAGGCTTTCTTGTTAGTCTCTTGGGGCTTTGTCTATATTCTTTAAATCAAAATAGATACCAGTATATTCCTCTGAAATTAGAGGCACTTGGCCAGGGAGCTTGGACACCCACGTCCTTTAACTGGCTGTGTCTTTCTTGTAGGCAAGCTCTGTGGGCAGCTGGTTATAATCAGGAAGTTGTATGGCGAACTCAGGAGTCACAGCTGGGAAGTTTTGTTTTCCGGGAGTGTTTTTTAATAGCATCTGCCTGGGAGAGAGCATCATCTCCACCCTAGGGGCAAAGCTGCTACCAGGACCAGGCAGGACCGGCCTCAGATGTGCCTCTTACTAGTGCTTTCTGTGTCTCAGCCAAGAGAATACGATCCAGGTTGGGTCAGGATCCATAGCCAGTGTCGGAATTCGGTGCTTAGAAGCTTTCTTTTCTTTGGTGTTCTTCGGGAGCAGCCCTCAGGAACTCCTTGGGGCATTTGGTGGAAAGGCCACCAAAGGGATTTTTGCCTGCTGGAGCTACATGTGGTGTCCCTCCGGCCAGGTGTGTGTGGAGGCCAGTATGAAGCTGAAAAAGCAGGTGACAGTGTGTGGGGCTGCCATCTTCTGTGTGGCTGTCTTCTCACTCTACCTCATGCTGGATCGAGTGCAGCATGATCCCACCCGACACCAGAACGGTGGGAACTTCCCCCGGGTGAGTCATGCCTGATTGCTGATCTCTTCATACACAAATCATCTGGGATCGGGTTATTGCCCCAGCTGGAGAGTCATGTCAACCCAGGGCAAGAACATTCCTTCCCAGCAGGCAGATTTTCTAGAAACTCAAAGCTGAAAGCAGTGATGGCAAAAAGAAAGGAGGGAGGGAAAATGGCAATATGTACTGCTGCTCTGTCCTCCTGAATTATTGGCAGACATTGCTAATGGATTGCAGCATCCCTTCCCACTAAGCCCCAGTGCAGTCCTTGTCAGCACAATGCTCCTGAGAGGCAACGCCGATTGTTGAGAATAGGCATGGGAGGTGAAATCTTTGCCATCCATAAGCTAGAGAGTGAGGGTACTCCCAACCCAAGTGGATTGCAGTCTTCAGTAGTGATTCACACCTCTTCCCTTATCTGACCAGAGCAATCCAGCCCTGTAGGCTCATGGTCCTGCCTTTGACTGGGGAGGGAAGGATCATAGTCAGGCCTCAGGTTGTGGGCTCCATGCAGAGATCCTTCTTGTGGCATAAGGAGCTGGGAGTGATTGCTTTCTGGTTTTTTTGGCAGAGTCAAATTTCTGTGCTGCAGAACCGCATTGAACAGCTGGAGCAGCTGTTGGAGGAGAATCATGAGATCATCAGCCACATCAAGGACTCTGTGCTGGAGCTGACGGCCAACGTGGAGGGCCCACCTGCCCTGCTGCCGTACTATATGTCCAATGGCTCCTGGGTGGTGCCACCAGAGCCCCGACCCAGCTTCTTCTCCATCTCCCCTCAAGACTGCCAATTTGCTTTGGGGGTCCGGGGCCAGAAGCCAGAGCTGCAGGTAAGAGTCAGAGCTGGCAGGGACCCATAGTGGCCATGGCTGGGGCACTGAGCTGTTCTCCTGCCTGGCAGATGCTGACTGTATCAGAGGAGTTACCATTTGACAACGTGGATGGCGGCGTGTGGAAGCAAGGCTTTGACATCTCTTATAGCCCGCACGACTGGGACACTGAAGACCTGCAGGTGTTTGTGGTCCCTCACTCTCACAATGACCCAGGTGAGGGCCCAGCAGACCTTGGGAGCCAGGGTGTGGAGTGGGCTTTCTTTTTTACTTTTTTAAATTTTTGTTGGAGTATAGTTGATTTAAAATGTTGTATTAGTTTCTGCTGTACAGCAAAGTGAATCGGTTATACGTACACACATATACATTTTCTTTTAGATTCTTTTCCCATATAGGTGTTCTCAAAGTATTGAGTAGAGTTCCGTGTGCTATACAGCAGGTCCTTATTAGTTATCTGTTTTACGTATAGTAGTGTGTATATGTCAGTCCCAATCTCCCAATTTATCCCTCCCCCCTCTCCCCCCGGTAACCATAAGTTTGTTTTCTATATCTGTGACTCTATTTCAGTTTTGTAAGTAAGTTCATTTGTACCATTTTTTTAGATTCCACATGTAAGTGATATCATATGGTATTTGTCTTTCTCTGTCTGACTTACTTCACTATGACAATCTCTGTATCCATCCAAGTTGCTGCAAATGGGATTTCTTTCTTTTTTTATGGCTGAGTAATATTCCTCTGTATATATGTACCACATCTTCTTTATCCACTCCTCTGCTGATGGACATTTAGGTTGCTTCCATGCCTTGGCTGTTGTGAATAGTGCTGCAGTGAACATTGGGGTGCATATATCTTTTTGAATTATGGTTTTCCCCGGATATATGCCTGGGAGTGGGATTGCTGGATCATATGGTAGTTCTATATTTAGTTGTTTTTTTTTCCTGCGGTACATGGGCCTCTCACTGTTGTGGCCTCTCCCGTTGTGGGGCACAGGCTCTGGACGCACAGGCTCAGCGGCCATAGCTTACGGGCCCAGCCGCTCCGCGGCATGTGGGATCTTCCCGGACCGGGGCATGAACCTGCATCCCCTGCATCGGCAGGAGAACCTCAACCACTGCGCCACCAGGGAAGCCCCTATATTTAGTTTTTTAAGGAACCTCCATACTGTTCTCCATAATGGTTGTACCAGTTTACATTCCCACTAACAGTGTAGGAGAGTTCCCTTTTCTCCACACCCTCTCCAGCATTTATTATTTGTAGATTTTTTGATGATGGCCATTCTTACCGGTGTGAGGTGTTACCTCATTGTAGTTTTGATTTGTGTTTCTCTACTAATTAACGATGTCGAGCATCTTTCATGTGCTTTTTGGCCATCTGTATGTCTTCTTTGGAGAAATGGCTATTTAGGTCTTCCGCCCATTTTTTCATTGGGTTCTTTTTTGACATTGAGCTCCATGAGCTGTTTGTATATTTTGGAGATTAATCCTTTGTCCGTTGCTTCATTTGCAAATATTTTCTCCCATTCTGAGGGTTGTCTTTTCGTCTTGTTTATGGTTTCCTTTTCTGTGCAAAAGGTTTTAAGTTTAATTAGGTCCCATTTGTTTATTTTTACTTTCATTACTCTAAGAGGTGGATCAAAAAAGATATTGTTGTGATTTATGTCAGAGTGGTCTGCCTATGTTTTACTCTAAGAGTTTTATAGTATCCGGCCTTACATTTAGGTCTTTAATCCATTTTGAGTTTATTTTTGTGTATGGTATTAGAGAGTGTTTTAATTTCATTCTTTTACATGTAGTTGTCCAGTTTTCCCAGCACCACTTATTGAAGAGACTGTCTTTTCTCCATTGTATATTCTTGCTTCCTTTGTCATAGATTAGTTGACCATAGGTGCATGGGTTTATCTTCAGACTTTCTATCCTGTTTTATTGATCTATATTTCTGGTTTTGTGCCAGTGCCATACTGTTTTGTTTTGTTTTTTTAATTAATTAATTAATTTATTTATGGCTGTGTTGGGTCTTCGTTTCTGTGCTAGGGCTTTCTCTAGTTGCGGCGAGCGGGGGCCACTCTTCATCGCGGTGCACGGGCCTCTCACTGTCGCGGCCTCTCTTGTTGCGGAGCACAGGCTCCAGACTCGCAGGCTCAGTAGTTGTGGCTCACGGGCCTAGTTGCTCTGCGGCATGTGGGATCATCCTGGCCCAGGGCTTGAACCTGTGTCCCCTGCATTGGCAGGCGGATTCTTAACCACTGTGCCACTAGGGAAGCCCCATACTGTTTTGATTACTATAGCTTTGTAATATAGTCAGAAGTCAGGGAGCCTGATTCCTCCAGGTCTGTTTTTCTTAAGATTGCTTTGTCTGGGGTGGGCTTCCTGATGGCAAAGGTAAGGGAGGGACAGTTGAAGAAGATGGTGGCATCCTCAGGGGACCCTATGTTGGCTTCCCAGGCTGGCTCAAGACCTTTGACAAGTACTACACAGAGCAGACCCAGCACATTCTCAACAACATGGTGTCCAAGCTGCAAGAGGACCCCCGGCGGCGCTTCATCTGGGCGGAAGTCTCCTTCTTCGCCAAGTGGTGGGACAACATCAATGCCCCAAAGAGAGCAGCAGTCCGAAGGCCAGTGCCAATCGGGAAGGCAGGAGGGCTATCCTCTGGGCCCTAGGATGGGTGTGAAGTCCTCTCCTGGAGCTGCAGGTGCCAAGGTGTCAGGGAGAGGCAAGGGGAACCTTGGCAGAGATGAGGAGTGATGGTAGAGGGGCCAGGAATGAGAAGGCAAGAACTGACTTGAGGGTCACTAGCGTTAGGAGAAATCAAAGTAGTGTGAGCACAAGGAAGAGAAAGCATAGGGCCTGGCCCCTGGAAGCGCCGACAGAGATCCAGGAATAAGCAGAGCCAGGACAGCATGGAGGTTGGCTGGAGAGAGGAGGGCGCATGTCTGTTGTCTTGGTCCTGGGTTTGGGTGAACTGGCTCAGTGAGGCCAGTACACACAGGTCCCGGCATCTGGTTGGCAGCACTGAGCAGAGGGTCTCTGCCCCAGGCTGAGTGTGAGTCCTTAACTCCAGGCTGGTGGGAAACGGGCAGCTGGAGATTGCAACAGGAGGCTGGGTAATGCCGGATGAGGCCAACTCCCACTACTTTGCATTGATTGACCAGCTCATTGAGGGACACCAGTGGCTGGAGAAAAACCTCGGTGAGTCCGGGCTCAGCAGTGGGAGTCTGCCCCCATAGCTGGGCCCAGAGGACAGCAGGGGGCTCTAAGGCACAAGGATTGGCAGGGAGTGCTTCTTTTCTAGGCTAATTCCACCAGCGTGGGTGTGGTGTGATGGCAAGACGGGATCTGGGGCCCCTGTGCCGGGAGGCCAGGCCCTGAGACATTCAGGCCTCTGGCTTCCATGCCCCTGCCCAGGTGCAACCCCGCGCTCAGGCTGGGCAGTGGACCCCTTTGGATACAGCCCCACCATGCCTTACCTGCTGCGCCGTGCCAACCTGACCAGCATGCTGATTCAGAGGGTACATTATGCTATCAAGAAGCACTTTGCTGCCACCCACAGCCTGGAGTTCATGTGGAGGCAGACCTGGGGTAAGGCCAGGTAGGGTGGAGGGGGGTCACAGCAGTGGTTCCCACTGGGAAAGGGCAGGGTATCAGAAATAAGACCCATCTGTCCTTTAGAGCAGACCAACAAACACTGGTGCAGACCGTCAGAAGCTCTCTCCTTCAGGTTAGGTGGGGATCACATTGATCTCTGGCCTCTGTGGAGCCTGCTGTCTGTCTCCTGGAGGAGCTGTGGGCTCCAGAGCCCTCCCTGTGTCCTGACCATTGGCCTGCATGTCCTCTGCAGCCTTAAGTCTGGTTCACGCCTTTAGCTGGAGCAGATCCCCTTCCACCCCCGGCATCCCTGTGCCCAGCTCCAGGGGCTGACTGCTTGGTGTGTTTTCTATAGATTCGGACTCCAGCACAGACATCTTCTGCCACATGATGCCTTTCTACAGCTATGACGTCCCCCATACATGTGGCCCGGATCCCAAGATCTGCTGCCAGTTTGATTTCAAGCGCTTGCCCGGGGGGCGCATCAACTGCCCTTGGAAGGTGCCACCCCGGGCTATCACAGAGACAAATGTGGCCGAGAGGTACTTGCTCCCAGACCTGGACTAGGTGTGGTGGTGTCATTTTCACTCTGCAGAGGAGTCAGGAGATCTGGTCTGGGCTCTGCTGCATGGGGGCTTCGGGTTCCACATTCATAAAATGGGGGTGGGCTCGGTTGGTGAGTTCAGGCCCACAGCCCTTGCAGTGATGGTTCCTTTACTGTGTTTTCCTGGAAAACTAGAGTGAGTGGCTCTAAGGAACCACCTTTTCCAGAATGGTTTTATTTTCCCAAATGAGTATGTTTTCTAGTGTCCTAACAAACTGTCGGAGCCAGTGGACTGACTCTGAGGCAAGTAATTCTCAGATTAGATGCAGTGCCTTACAACCTTCAGTCTGGTATGCCTGCATTAAGCTCAGGCCTCCTGCCTTGGCTTGAAGTCACCCGGGATCCTCAGTGCTCTGTGCACCCAGAATCCCATTCAGATGCACATTCCGTCCCACCCAACAGCCTCCAGCCTCTGAGAAAACAGACCTGTTCCCTTTGAGAGAATCCTTAGGGACCCCAAAAGATGTTGCTGAAATCAGCTCCCCTGGGAAAAGGTGGATTAAGAGAGAGCTAAACAATTATTTAGCCAGAACTGGACTGGCCTTAAGAATATAACAAGTTGAACGGGTTTTCATGTTGCAATCCTCCGATTTCCATGATGTCCAAGAGGTGAAACATGTGACCAGAAGGGAAAGAAAGTGGTCTTTTGTTTCCAGAATCCAGAAATCTAAATGCTGATTCCAAGCAAGAATCTAGGGCTTTTAAGGCATGCTTTTTCTGAAAGCAGCAGCTGTGATCTATAGATGCCAGGCCAGGTTTACAGAGAGCAAGTCATGGGAGATAACCTCATTTTCTCCTTTAAATTTATTTATTTTATTTTTGGCTGCGTTGGGTCTTCCTTGCTGTGCGCGGGCTTTTCTCTGGTTGTGGTGAGCAGGGGCTACTCTTCGTTGAGGTGCGCAGGCTTTTCACTGCGGTGGCTTCTCTTGTCACAGAGCACGGGCTCTAGGTGCGCAGGCTTCAGTAGTTGTGGCACGGGGGCTCAGTAGTTGTGGCTCACGGGCTCTAGAGCACAGGCTCAGTAGTTGTGGCGCACGGGCTTAGTTGCTCCGCGGCATGTGGGATCTTCCCAGACCAGGGATTGAACCCGTGTCCCCTGCATTGGCAGGTGGATTCTTAACCACTGCGCCATCAAGGAAGCTCTCGTTTTCTCCTTTAAAGGGCTTACAAGGATGATAAATTAGGGGAAGGTGGTATTTGAGGAGTCCTTTCTTGAGAGCAAAATGGAACAGAACAAGCTGCACCAGCATGGCTAAGTACATTAGTGGCTGGTTGAACTGTAACACCCATAACATGCCAATTACCAGGCTGGTCTAAAAAGAGAAAAGAGGCTTTAATGCCACAGGTCTCTGTTTTTCTGTTGATTACATTAATGACTTGGATGAAAAAGGAAATAATAAATGTTTATGTAGAACAGTGCCAGGCACTGTTCTAAGTGTTTAACAAATATTAATTCACTCAGTTCATTGTAATTCTCATAATACTATGACAGTAGGTACTGATGTTTTTCTCATTTTATAGAAACTGAGGCCCAGAGAGGTTAAGTAAGTTGTCCAAGGTCACACAGCTAGTGCATACAGATCTAGTGTTGGTGTAGTCCGGTCCCCAAGTCCAGGCTCTTCAGTCTAGGGCTGTGCTGCATCACTAACTGGTGGCAAACAAAGCGGGAGTGTCAGAGTCAGGATCCCAAAAGATCTCAGTAGGTTGGGACGAGGGTTGAACCTAACCAGATAAGATTAGATAAATGTAACTTCTACCCTTAGCTTCAGCAAACAGAATAGGAAAGTTCAGGATGAGAAAATATCTTGCTGGGCCTCATGCACAGAAAACATGATCACTGATGTCAGCATGGTGGGGTGACAGTGGGGGCCACCAGACATGCCTGTATAAGCACACGGCTCCAACGGCAGCTCTGGCCAGACTAGAGGGTGTGGCCTGCCTTCCCCTGAGCTCCCATATTTAGCGCTGGGCCCCGCACTCTGGGATCCTGGCAGATGGGCTACTCAAGAGAACTGCTGGTGACTGGATTCTCAGCTGCTATGTAGGGACCAAATAGAGGGGCTGGGATTGCAGAGGCTGATGAGAAAGCGCAGGGGAATGCTTACACATCTTGGATATGTCTGAGGGACCATCATGGGGAAGGAGGACTGGTTTGTTCTTTGTGGTATCCAAGGGCAGAACTGGGGCCAGGGAATTGAAGCCATGCATCAGGAAGAACTCTCTAGTTGTTTGGAGAACACTGGGCTCCCTGGGACTGGGTTTCACCCCATGAGGTATCTACCCCCAAGCCGAGTGACTCTGTGACGAGGATGTATCAGAGGGCTCCTCTCAGGCTGGCTCTGCTCAGGATCCTATAATGTGAGACTCCATGTGGGGCCCATCCCCCTTCCCACCTGCAGGGCAGGCCTGCTCCTGGACCAGTACAGGAAGAAGTCCCGGCTCTTCCCAAGCAACGTC